GATTTTACAGGTGGAAAGAAAACATTGTTTTGACATAACTTTTTAGAATAATAATACAGCCCCACAGTCTTATGAACATGCTATGATCTCTTGTTACTCACTCCGATCATTGTCCATGTGATGTCAGGCCATCAGCCTGTCACAGGGTTGTGGTTGTGTCAGTGTGTTTACATGTTTTGAGTGTTCATGTCTGTGTGTCAGTATGTGTGTGTGTGTGTGCTCTGTGTGTTTTCAGGCTCAACAGTCCCCCGAGTTGTGCGAATGTGGCCCGGTCTCCATTTTCCAGTCTCTCTGGTCGGCGGCGTCTCCCTGGCCGTGCTGGGAGGCGGCTGGAGACAGGGACATCTGTCTGCGGGGGTTGCCGCTGTGCATGGTGTTCCAGTGGCGCTTCAGATCCGACGCTTTGATGAAGGCTTTGTCGCAGGAGCCGCAGTTGAATGGCCGCTCGCCTCGGTGCTGCCGTTCGTGGTCTTTCAGGTGGGACTTGTGCTTGAAGGCCTTTTCGCACATTTGGCACGCGAAGGGCCTCTCGTTGCTGTGAACCCTCTCGTGCCTCTTCAGGTCGGGGCCCCTGATGAAGGCCTTACCGCAGACCACGCAGCGGTGGGGTTTGAAGCCGGAGTGGATCTTCAGGTGCTCCTTGAGGTGGGCGGCGGTGGTGAAGGCTTTGGGGCAGTGCTCGCAGCCGTATGGGCGGTTGGCGGTGAGCAGCCGCTCCTTTTTGGCGTTGTGGTCCATGGGCTTTGCTCCTGTGCTCTGGCAGGAGCCGTGGTCGCGGTGGCCGTACAGCAAGTACTCCAGCTTCATGTCGCTGGAGGAGGAGGAACCCCAGCCGTGGCTGTGAGGATCTTTACCCATGTTGGTGTTGTAGTTGTGTGGCTGAGACACGTGCGAGCCGCCTGGCCCCATACCATCCATCCCCTGATCGTAGAAGCTGTTCTTCCTCACCTCCTCCATGGCCAGCTCCTTCAGGATGGCGTCCTGAGCTCTCATCCCGTGGTCGCCTGGAGCCTGGTTCTCCCGGGTCTTCATGTTGGTCAGCTCACGTTTCTGGGTGCACAGGTTATCCAGGAAGTTGATCCCCAAGATTTGGCCGGATGACATCATCATATTGATGTCCTTCTTCCTCACGGCGAGCCTGGCTGTGTACATGTAATTGAGCACCTCTTCGAAGATGTCAGAGCGGATGAAGTCCAACTCCACGATGGAGTTGTCTTCGTCGCTCTGTTTCTTGAAGAGCTTTTTGAAGTAGTTGCTGCACGCTGCCAAGACACAGCGGTGAGCCCTGAACTCTATGTTTTCCACCACCACTACAACATCACAGTGCTCACCTTCCATCCTCTGTTGATTGAGCATCTTCAGAAAGGTGGCTTTGTGGTCATAGTCGATATATCTCAATAAATCAGACATGTTGCAGGTCAAATAGGAGCAACCTGCAGAGGAAACACAACACACAGTCAAGATATTTTCATTTCCACAACAAAACTGGGAATGTGGATAAAGTGCATGGCTGAGGGGTGGAGCTCTATTAGCAAGCCTCTCGTGATATTATACACAGGTAGAGTATGCACCACACATTTACACACACTTAAAGGAGTAACTTGCAACCAACATCGCATTCTCTCATTGTTTTCTTCAGACCTGACCGACGAAACTGCAGAGAGTAAACAAAAGTGGCTAAATCAATCATGCAGAAAGCCTTTGGTAGATACGATAGGCCCGACAGCGATAAAAGCCGCAGTAATGTTAATAAAAAAAATACAAACACTAGCAGAAACAAACAGACGCACTTTTCCCAACTTGACTAGCGCGTTTTTGCCGCCTCGTTCGCGTGACAGTCGCGTCGCGTGTAGAAAGGATAACCTTAGCAAGAATATTTCACATTTCACTGCGCCCAGCCATTTTGGTCAGCAAGCCTCCATTGGCATGTTTCTGGTGCCTTTAAAGCAGTTCACAAACAGCGGAGAACACGGCGGCGAACAGGCAGACACGCCGCCACGAAATGCCGCGCCGTTTTCTGCGCCTTCCGCAGCGACAAAGAGAAAATAAAAATGTTAATACCCGAAGCCTGAACGCGATCCCTGTGTTGTCACGCAAGGCAGTCGACGACGATCCAGAGCTGTCGTTTTTCCTCTTCCTCTTCTTGTTGTGACTATTGGGCTCCACAGGAAATGCTGCATTGTTCTGCTGCCACCTACAGCCGCGGAGCAGGTACTCCACCGAGATCCTCTATGTCCGAGGCGACGACCCACTCCGCAGGAGGAAAAAAAAGTGTAGTCCAGTAAGAGGCAAGGCCCCAAAGTCCCTGGTTCACCATATTGTACACTATATAGTGCACTGCTTCTCAAACCTTTTCATATCAAGGACCCCTAAAGTGAAACAAATTAGACCACGCCCCCCATTTGATAAGATTTTTGCTTTTAGATGTTTATTATAGAAAGTGTTTGAAGCACATGAGCAAAATAGTCACACATTCTGTCATTGTTGTACATATGGATGGAATTATGGCCAAGTAAAAATAAATTATTCCCTATTTGCTGAGAACCCCTAAAGGACCCCACTATTATCAACTGGGCAAAGCAGACAGCTCCCTAAGCCTCCATGTTTACTTCACATTATTTCTGTCAACACAGTTTAATTAATCAGTTATTTGTTAAAAAGTTTTACCACTGAAGTGCCATCTGTCTTGTAGAGTAACCCTGTGTCAGAATCCACCTTTATTAATTTGTCTCCGTATATTCTGTCAAGTCCATAGACTGAAGGCCTGAACAAAAAGGTCAACATACAGAAAACCTCGGGTTAGGTCCTACTATCCTCTATCACAGCAGTGCTAAAGCTGCAACCAGAAATTATTTTCATAATCAATAAGTCTGACAATTAACATCTTCAATAATCAGTTGATTGTTCAGTATATAAAATGTAAGAAAATAGTGAAAAATACACACCATCACTCCCTAAAGCCCAAGTGAACATATTCAAATATCTTGTTTTTTTGTCTGATCAACAGTCAAAAATGTTTACCGACATAGAAAACTGGGAAATATTCAAATTTGAGAAACTGCTATCATTTAATTTTTTGGCATTTTTGGTCAAAAATGGCTTAAATGCCTAATCAGTAATCTCAATTTTTGCCAATTAATTTTCTGTAAAACAGCCTATTAATTAATCAACTAATCATCTCAGCTGTACTGGTTGGTTTCTGGGTGCCAGGGGAAAATTAAAAACTGCTGAGCCATGACCATATATCAATTGTTTTTGATAAGATTTTTTTAGGGAACATGCTACGCTACAAAACAATATCAAGTAAAGCACATACTACATTATGAGGTAATTCTATTGCTGTGTCTTGTCAAAATCTAGTCTGTAGAGTTTTCATAATTCCTAGATTAAGTGGTGTTGAAGGACAGGTTCACCATTTTGTAGGTATGTCCATACTTACCCATATAAACTATTCGTAGGACCACTGATTTACAACCAGGTTTCAACCCACAGTCCAGTTGTGTAGAGACATAACATTATACTGTAAACAGCTCTCCATCTCCCTTCTACACCTATTTCAAAAACATGGCTGACCTATTCCTGCAGGCGCGTTTTCAGTGCAACACATAAAATTCATTAAATAAATTATATGAATGCAAAATTATAATTATATCATAATATTCAATATATAGAACACACAGTTATATGTGTGGTACATCTGTGAAAAAAACAACAAAAAAAAACTAATTTCTTTTGAAGCAGATACTCACCCACACATCCACCTTTCACTAATGTTAATCAATTCATGACATGATTACTTATCATGGGTGGGAAATTCCAAAAAGCATACATGTGGACATTGCACCAAAGATGATATACAATAAATTTCTAGAACTAAGAAAAACATATCTTAAAATTTTTGTTTTTCTTGATTTACAAGTTTACAAATTTAAATTGGTTTTGGTGTTGCATAGCATTTTTTTTTACCTGTTGTCTTTGATTAATATGACTATGTTTAGTGTGCTGTGATTATTACCCATCTTTGTAAACACTGTAAAGAAAACTGTGTTACAAAAAACAAACATTTGATTGGTGGTCATATGTTGACAGCCCAGAGCCATGGTCCAGCCTGTTCCTCCTTTTTTAAATGTTTGTTTTTACAATTGTTTTGAATCAATTTATGCAGTATTTTAAATTTCAAAACAGGAAGACATTTAGCTGTTGTTTAGTAACTAAAAACAAGAAATTATTTTACTCAAAGGAAGAGGCTATAAAGACAAACTCGTGTGACATCACAACCCAAGCTTTCCCATCTCTGTTGAGCCACACACGCCCAGCAACAGAAACAGAGTGAGACATCTCATCTTTTCGATTATCTCTGGGAAACACGCACACATCCAGCGGGGGCGGGGCTTGTCAGGCCTCGGTGTATTCAACATAATTACCAGCAGCAGTAAGGATCCTGTCTTAATTACCCGCGGGTGCTCCTATTAACAGATCAATTAAGAGTTTAGGGCATTTGGTTTAATGAATAATAGATCAACTACAGTTTACAGATGCAATCCACTCCCACTGATATATTTATTTATTTTAACCACTGTTTAAGCTTTTAGGTTTTTAATAATCACAACCTGCTCCTGAGGATAGGAGATTTTTTTAGTCTCTCACAGCTCAGGTTGTTCCTTGGGTCCATCGATTTTTATCACATTGGTTGATGGATTTTTTAATCTTTCAATTAAGATTGAACAAATTAACCTGAATATATAATTTTAAATTTATCATGGCAGCCTCCAGGGGTTCAGAGTGTCACATGCCACAACTATTGTGATATAAACCTCGGAATAATTAGCGTTTTATTTAGTATCTAAAAAAACAAAAGCAACCATTATTTGAATCATCACTAAGATTTTTTTTTCTGTAGAGAAAGTGTATTTTGCACTGGTTCAACAACACTCAACCAGGTTTCAGTACTGTGGTCGACGTTTTATTATTAGAGAAGAAAACAGCAAATTAAAAACAAATGCATTTGCCACTTTTATTCCACCATTTTGAGGAAAATGTGGCTGTACATGAACAATACTTGGTTATTCAGATACAGTTAAACAGATGAGGGAGGCATACAGCTGACATGTTCAGGAGGTGGCGGTCGGTGTGTGTGTGTGTGTGTGTGTGTGTGTGTGTGTGTGTGTGTGTGTGTGTGTGTGTCGGGGGTTGACAGATCTCTTTTGGCTTTGCATCTAGTCTGGGCAGAGCTCGGCAGTCTGAGCCCTACGCCTCACAGTCACACAAACCTGGGACTTGTGGTGCAACCGATCGTCTACCCTGGGAAACATTCAAAGCCTGCACAGGCACATAAAAATCTATTTCTTGCACAGAATTCTTGATTCCTTGGCGTTTCGCCAAAGTAGACCTCCAAAAAAAAGGTGTTGCAAGTGGTGGAATCAGCTGATGAGAAACAATAAAATACTGAAATGATCATAAAAAGGAAAAACACAATTCAAGTGGACATGACGAAAATCAACTGTGAAAGATAATTTGCTATTTTCCTAAGGAAGCTTTGATATGTACAGTACTGGGCTGTAGTGATTTCTGTTGTGACACACCTCACGGAAAATCATAGGGTTGTTTGAGTGAGTGAGGCGATGCTTGCTGGCAAATGAGGTTGGCACTTCTACAGCAAGGTTAAATAGTGTAATGCTCTCTAACATATACAAATCTACGGCAATTTAAAGTTTCTGGAGTGATGGCTTTATTTCATAAATAAAATGTTGCTACAATAATTATTCTCAATAATCATAAAAATGCATCAAAGTCATAAGGCAGTGAAAGCAAAAAGGTTTGCTTGCTGCACACAGGGATTCGGCGTGCAGATGGATCGAGAACCTTTTTTAAAATCGTACGGTTTTCTGTATAATCTTGCCATTTGTTTGATAATGCAACATTGCGTCCTTCTCATGCAAAATGCATTTATTTATTTTGCAGGTGATGGTTGCGACTAGCGGCGAGCTGCAGCATTTGGAGAGTAAGGAGCCTTTCTAGTCTTCTGAGAGTCCCCGGCGTAATATGAGGAGTTCTGGATGTTGGATTGTGGGAGGTTGAACAGAAACAGCCCCTCAGTGTTACTCCTGGAAGAGCAGAGGGAACAGCAGTTAGAGCATCCTGCTTGCGTAATCATATCTGTAGCTTTAAGTGTCACAGTGCACCCTGCCAAAGACTGAAAATGAGCCTGATATAAGGTTATAGCAGTTTTACCCCCATAAAAAAGATGCACTGAGGGACTACTGAGCTACAAAAATGCAAATACACAACATAGATACACACAGGCTTCGTGGGCACTTTCTGACTATAATTTATCAATATCGCTCCCAGTGGCATCCCATCTGCAACTATGCGGTTTTGAATTTGACTTTTATCCCACCAAAGTTAAAACACGTCATACATCTCCTCTCTGGTGAACCACACTTTACACCCGACACATTTCTGCCTCCATCAGAGAGAGGGGGAGATTTGGAGAAATCGCTCCTTTAAGACAGAGGCATTCTGGATTTCTAAATTAGGCACTTTAAGCCCCCCCCCCGAGTGTTAAATGAGGAATTAGACTTGAAGCCATTTTTGCAGAGTCTCCTGAATTATGTCTGAGCTCAAATAACAGGAACAATTTATTCCGTGGATTGTTGTGTTAAGGTCAAAAGCAGATGGACTTGAAAATGACTTTGGGTTATTCATAAATGTTAAGTGATGGAAGGAATTAGATTATTATACTGTGTTATGAAAAATTTATCTGAATAGTAAGGTTGAAAGGATCCATTTGGTGCCTTATACTGAAGAATGGATTTTCAACCTTTTTACTCAGTGATGAGCTCAGACAGAGCTTTGTATTTCCTCCAGAATACTGTGGTCATTCATATTTTACACTAAGAGTAATGACTTGTTGTGAATAGTATTGTCTAAGACAGGGATGTTGCCGAAGCTGTATGTGGTATTTATTTATGGTGATTCATCAGTCACATAACTGATCACTGAATTGTGTATAAAAGGACGTCATGTGCCCTGATGAAAAGAAGAAGATATTGTTTGGTGAATAAAGCATGGTGCACTGGAGAAGTGGTGGTGTGACGTGTTTGAATTTTAATGTTCTTTAAATTTTGTTCTTGTTCTTTAATTTCTTAAAGACTCTGGAAAATGCAACTCCAAATTCTCTCAGGTTTTGATCCACAACTCTGTGTGTATCTACCGTGGCAAGAGACAAGCATCCAACAGAGCACAGAGAAAACATTTAGTATCATGTTAACAGTGCTACTCAGAAGCAGAGCCGTTCTGAGACAGGTATTAGACAGCACGCACGCACGCACGCACACACACACACACACACACACACACACACACACACACACACACACAGTACTGATGGCAAGGACACAGAAAAAAAAGCCAAGCATTCCCCATCTGGTGAGTCCCACAAGTACACACATGCACGCTTGCTCATCGCCACACCCTGCACCTTGGGATCGTTTCAGTCAGGAGCTAATGAAACAATAAGCCTCAGGGCCACAAGGTGAATTAGAATAAACTGGACAATGCGTCGTTTCCAGAGACAGAAAACGATGTGTACGAGAGAAGGTTGCGGAGCGGGGGGGAGTTATAAGGACATGCTGTGGTACAATGGAATGAGAGGTTCCCTCACGCAGCTCCACGCCTGATGTAACCCTGACGTTACTGACAGCGGACAAGTTGGAACACAAATGGCTGCATTTGTGAAGTTTGTGGAAACGCTGCCACAAGGACTGCTGACCTATTTACCCCCCCCCCCACCACCACCACACACACACAGAGGAAGAGTGCAACTGAAAGGAGCAGTATGGCACAAACATAAGCGTCCCAGAAACACAGTTTTAACATTTCAGTGATTCACCCCAAGCTTGAATATTCTACCTATAAAAACAGTCCAGTCAAGCTGCTGCGTAGTGCAACAAAAAAGACTAATGCTGACACCACAGTGTAATTTAGGCTCAACTTGGTTCGTTTTATTTTATGTGCAGATTATTGTTACACCAGTTTCTGAATCTGATATTAATTATGAATCTAATATTAATTTTTTATGGTATAACAATTTCCGTGCACCTTGTTAAGTATGAAACTGATGCCACATGTATCTGAGCACAGCCTGTTAATGCAAAACAAAAAGATTTTCTGCAAATATAATTCCTTTTTTGAGCATAGTACATAATTGCTAATAACTTACACTGTTAAACAACATTATTGTTCATGTATGAACAGAGTTGAAGATAGACTGAAGCACATCTGTGTGTACTCAAGATCAGATTTCAGTCCATACGGGTGCGCCTTCAGCACGGGCCGAGCGCTCTGAGAAGCAGAAGCCGGTTGAGCCGGTATTTAATCGCTCATCACTGTCAGTGTCCTTTGTGAAGCTACATAATGTAGACACAACAATGCGTGGAAATGCTTTTACACAATATTGCGCGGTATGAAGGCGTAACTATTTCAACAGCTTGTTTTTGTGCGCTTAGCAGATGAGAAAAACATCTCCAGTTTTCCAACACCTTTTTTTTTTTTTTTTTAATAATTTTTTATTAAGGAAGCAGTCTGAACATGATTTTTAAGATCAGTGTTGCAATTTCTTTTTCTTTTTTCCAATGACAAACCAATCGGAGAGAGAGGTCTGTGTTAAATGTACAGTACACACAGCAGCTCTCTCTAATAAAAAAGGATTGCGCTTCTTTCCAGCAGGGGGGAGTGAAGCAGCCAAATTACACGAGATTGCATGAGACTGCCAGCAGCATTACTGCAAAGGTTTTTTAAGCCTTGTCATTACGAGTTGAGACTATAATATCCGTTCTGTGTGCACACACGCACCAGCCGACCTTTTCCCTGCGGGGGGAGTGGAGCTGGAATGACAACAGCATGATGCATTAGCTGTAAGTGCTACAGAAGCAGGGCTGTCTGTGGCAGTGAGAAGAAGTGCTGATGGGAAAGCAGCATGCCCGAGTATGAAGACCAGCTTGAAAAAGCCCAGTCCAACTAAATTAAAACCAGACCAGACTAAACCGGACAGTGCCGGGGCCAGGACTGGAGCCTCATTGTCTTACCTGGGTCAGTCCTCCCCCTCCTCTGGCGTGATCTCTGTCTCTTTATGTACCACTACTTTGGTCACTGACATGTCAGGATGCTGTTCTTTAGCCTCCTTTATGGCCTGAGCCAGAGCCTATGTACGGGAGTGCAGTGCCAGGAGGGATCACCAGGGGGAGACAGAGAATGGGGAAGGGCAGGGAGGGAGCGGGATGTTGGATTGTAAGTCAGTATGCCAACAGGGAAGTCACTTTCAGTTACACTTGTCATACTTCCAGTATTTGTTAAAGGTCACATCACGAGTTAATACTGTTTTGTTTAAAATGTCACATGCTAGACCACTCTGTGTCATCTGTCTGAACTAAGTTCCTGGTCATTGCTCAAATTCAATTGCTGACTTTACAGGCAAAGAAAAATAAGGACAACAGTGAATTAAAGAAAAACAAGAGACCTGATCGTGGTCGATGTCTGCATCTCCTGTGATGACGATCCTCTTCTCGATTCTTGTCTCTGATATTCCTCCTTTTACCGTCTGACCAACAGAGAACACAAAGAAAAATAAACCTGAAGCTGCAGTATATACTTCAATAACACTGGCTCACATCACATTGTTCTCTACATCAATATTTTTTCTAAACTACAAAATAAAAGAACAAATATAGGTCAGAGAGGTCAGCTACTTCTGTTCCACACTCTGCAGTCAGCAGAGAGAGAGAGAGAGAGAGAGAGAGAGAGAGAGAGAGATGGTCGGCGCGTTTGACGCTCCAAGTGTTAAGAGACCAAAGGGACAATAGATGGACACTGACCTTTGT